GGGTATTGCATGATTAATGATAACAASGCAGAACTATAGTTGCCAGGGATGCTATTTAAGAGTGCCCATGTTTCTGCTCAGTGGAAACTCATTTTCAGTTTCTCATCCAAGTGGGAAATAACTCTGCCAAGACTGTTTAGCTCTTACCCAACACAGACATGGACGTTAGCTACCAGCAGCCAMGAAGCATTCAGGTTAGAGAGGTAGAACTGGGACCTTGAAACAACTTTTCCTTGATTTAGCAAATCTGGTCTCACTACTTGTGTAATGAAGCAAAGAGGGAATAGCCCACCACAGATACTGGGACAAGAGTTATTTAGAAAATAAAAAGATACACATTTAGTAAGAACTCTTTTCAGCATATACGGGTTGAGAGATTTCATAAGCTTCTTGGTGAAAGGAATTAGAGACTCACTTAAATTTTAATCATCATTTATAGATAGGGGCATAGTAAATCATTCAATAAACCATATACAGCTCTCCAAGCATYTTTGTAAAATTATTTAAATAATTTACAAAACCATTCCTAACTAAAGGAATCCCTTAAGTATTGCTGTTACTGGACACGTGGACTGAATAAACTTGGTTTCATTATTCTAGTATCTATCTCAAATTGATTTATATGCTTCCATATATGCCTCTCAAAGTTTATTCTCCACATAGTAGTAGTCCGAGATCTTATTGATGAGACTAAATGAGACTATGGCTCCTCTCTGAACAAAACCCAACAATGGTCTTATATGTTACTTAGAGTAAGTAAATCCTGAAACTCCTTCCATGGCCTATAAGGAGCTAGATGAGCTTACCTGGAATTTTCTCTCTCTGACTCTGACTCATCATGAAAGGGTATCATTCAGAAATGGGTAGCCAATGTAGTTGCTTAAGGAATGGCTACAAACGTATTTTGGTGATAATATTTGAGATTGTTTTAAAAAGCAAGATGATTATTTTCCTTAAATTCATTGCACCTACATCATTTCCAGATTTAATTTCTATATCGTTTTACTTGTGAAGATTATAATTGCCATGTAGCTTCCCCATTRTCCCTGTGACTACCTTCCTATAACTATAGGTAGAGGCAGGGAAGTTAATGCAATAATTCTGTTTGTCTAAAAAGTGTGGCATCCATGTTGAATTGAGTTTAACACTAGTGGTACAAATTGAAATTTCATATTTGCATTAACTTTGAATATTTGTTTTGTGAAACAGAACTCTATAATTTAACAGAAAACCTCTGTTTAAACTGCTAATAAAAACTAACAGAAGCATTGGGCTGTTTTATAGCCAATTTACCTGCAACCTTTCCCATGAAATTCAAGGATGGTCAGAATAATCCCAACAGACAATGAAACCTTTTTCTATAAATGTACATAATGTGATCTAATGTAAAAACTAATGTAACAAASAGTGGTGATTTATGAACTATTAAATATTCGTGATTCAGAATTCTTTTCAAGTGTGCCTGAATTGGGCAGGTGTTAGACCAGGAAGAATCATGCTTTGAGATCTCTTATATGTTTTTGATCATCTATGATAGATCTTATAATTTGAGGCTTAGCTTAAATTTAATTCATTTTTATACTTCAACAGAGATGCTTCCTGTCAGTTCTTACAAGATGACTCAAAGACYTTAAAGACAGGTGCACAAAACTTGTGTCATTTGAGTCAATCTATAATCAATTAATTGTTATTCCATAAACACATGTGTAATCCATAGCACTCTAGGGTTAGGTTTACTTCAGAAATAACACAAAKAACAAATTAGGTCTGCTAAAAGAGGAACAGATGTGGGGTGGGCCAGCTGTCCCGACCTAGGGACCTGCAGACCTGTGGCTACAGTACTGCCTGCTACATCTCAGGAGATGCAGACAGCCCCGACCAAAATGTCCATTCTCTGCTACCCTGACATCTACAACACCTTTTCCTTATAATGRGATTGGAATTTTGCCACATTCTAAAATGTTATTAGGTAACACACTATTCCATAGTTATAACTTTTTCTAATTAATGATGAAATGCAAAAAAACCTATACATATGCAAACACACACACAAACACACACACACTCATATACGTTTTAATATATGAGGAGATATTATTCTGATCCTGTAATAGATCCAGTATAATTGGGGGTAGAATTAAAAATATATTGCACCCATGAGAAAAAAAATTCAAAACATTTTTAAAAACTTTAGTAACGTGTAATGAAATACATTACTTCAATACTCAGCAGAACATTTAGTACTCTGAATGGTTGGTGCAATAAGCACAATTTCTTATATTGTCATGTCAAGGCCTGCTTTTACAAATAATACTTGTCAGATGCTAAGTTAGAAAATAATGGGTTCAAACATTTTATACCTGTAAACTAGGTCAATGTGGTGTGCACATGAACCTTACTTTCTTGTGAGAATTTTTAAGTATCCAGAAAAATGTTGTGAAAAAATGCTTACTGCATAGCTGAGTAAATAAATAAATAAATAAATATGCAAAGTGAAGTTGATTCTGTTGAAAAAAGAGAAATCTTTTCCTCATTTTCTTATATTTTCAATGGCTTCTTSAGTGTGGATAGGAAAACTACATTTAAGTATTCAAAATACATTAGTCTCTATAGTGATCAAATTTTTCAAGAGCTAATTAAACATTTTAAACAATATGGTTAAAAAATTAAAAGAAAAATGCATAAGGCAGTAAGTTGCAAGTCATTCCMTTTCTATATTCCTTCATCCAGTTTTACCACATTTGCCAGTTTATTATTTAATTAATGGGTGTCTTTACATAGATATGTTTTTTGTACGTGTAACTGAATATGTAGTTTACTTTCTGGTCACAGAAATAGTGGTATTTGATATACACTGCTTTTCCTTGTGATAGTTCCTTTTGWTAGGGATATTTCCATGTTGATATAGAAGTAATTGGCTTGCTATATTTGTGATATATAGTATGATGATCCCTACATGAAAATTAATTTTTTACACACAAATTATTTTCTTACTCAAAATAAACACCTCCATCTGAGAACCAATCTGTGATACAGAAGCTGAAGATTTAAAAAAAATTTAAGATTTACTACCAATCTCCTAGAAAATTACAATAATTTTAGACTTTATTTGCTGATTACCTATCTCTGAACCTGACTGTATGAAAAGAACATGCCTCAAAAACTTGTTTATACAGAAATGTGTTGTTGCATCTTTAATACTTACAGCATGCCAAAACAGAGTAGGCACTCAGAACTTATTTGTTAAAATAATCAAAGGAATAATAAGACTAAAAAGTCAAAGAAATAACTTAACAACTAATTACAATCTGCATCTGTAGAATTCTAGAAGCTGTCATGTTTTTAAAAGCTGTAAAAAGCACTGCTCACTATATTTTCCCTGTAGGAATTGAAGCAATAAAGTGAAAAACTAATGTGAAATCAAAAGAACTCCAGAGTGCCTTTGAAATATGATCCAGTTTCAAAATTCCTTCTTTGTTTCCTAATCAATATTACAATGGAGACCATGAAATAAAAACTAACATGATGTAATACAGTATTAAATGGGCAGGATAAACTTTTAAATTACTTTATCTACATAATTCATAATAATAGCACAACCAACCCAAATACTGACTGCAATTATCAAAATACTGATCAGAGGACAAAACACAAAAGGGGACTATTTAAAAAAAAAATTTTGTTTTAGTTGTAGATGGACACAATACCTTTTTTTATTTATGYATTTTTTATGTGGTGCTGAGAATTGAACCCAGTGCTTCACACATGCTAAGCAAGTGCTCTCCACTGAACCACAACACAGCCCCCAAAAGGAACTATTTTAAAATTTTATTTATTTTTATGTGGTGCTAAGGATCAAATCCAGTGTCTCACACATGCCAGGTAAGTGCTTACCACTGAGCTACAACCCTGGTCCAAAGGGAACTATTTTTAATTGGAAAATTATTCTTTCTTTTTCTTAGTAATCCCTCTCTATTCAAAACTGCAATATTTTAAGGTTATTATTTTGGTAAAAATTTAAAAATACATAGATTACCTGGAAAGAAGTCAAATGATCTCATTTTAAAACTAATAAACCAAAAACTATTTAGCAATCTAACCTAAAAAACCAGTTCTTTAATTCCACTTCTAGAATCCTATCATAGACAAAGTCAAATAAAAAAAAACAGACATGAAAAACTATAATTTTAGTATAAAAAATTTATGCCTAAATTAAACATCTAACAATAATAAAATGGATTATATATTTAAAACATGCATTAAAACAGATTCAATATGAAAGATAATTATGCTGAAAAACCTTAACAGTATGATTTAATTATGTTAATGTACACATAGCAAAAATTGGAAAGAAGTATRCCAAAATATTTATATAATTGGTAGTATTGTTTATTGTCTTAATTTTATGCTATGTATTTTGACTGTTTTCAAAATTTTCAGTTACAAAATTATTATTACTTTATCAYTGGAAAAAGCATTTCATAATGAAAAAGTAGTATTATAGTGTGACCACTTCTTGATCATTCTGTATTTCAACTGCTGTAATCAYATGAATTCCATGAAGGCTTCTGAAGTAATGAATTGTGTTTGATCAAACTGAATAACATCATAGTACATTTCAGTTTTGATCTGATGAACAAAATCACATTAAATAATGAAATCAATATTAAACATGAGGAAATTGGGTGCTGTGGGTAAGTTACATATAAATATTTTATAAGAGAAAAGCCTGCTAATTTTGGTAATTTATAAAGGRCTAATTAGATATTTATACAATACCTAATTTTATCTGTATTATGTTAGGTACCCAAGTTATGATGATGATGATAATGGTGATGACGAYGATGATGATGACAGTATAAACAAATCCTACCTTTGCAGGTTCTTAGGATCTAAATTCTAGAATTCTGTAGAATTCATCCTAATAATCTAGGTAATAATTCATCTCCTGTAGGTAAAAAAAAAAAACAACACAATATAATGGTGAAATTATTACTTACTGTGGTAGCACAATGAATATCTTTCCAGACTGTGGYTTCCCTGGAGAGATCAGAGACTTCAAACAAGTTTTCAAGAATCACCTCGCCAATCATGTCATGTCTAGAAAATCTGTCAAAATCATATACACTGAAATGGAGTTTTCGGTTGCTTAGTTGATCATATGCTACTGGAAATTGAAAAGTTTCATCAAACAGAGGATTTAAAGTCTTTCTGTGTACACGGGTCTGAAATTTCTTTTTCCTATCCGGAAGAAGATACATCTTCACATAAGGGTCAGATGTTCCTGTGAAATCTTTAGCAGGAAGATCTAGGGCTTTGATAATTTTGACAACTAGAAGTTCATTTTCATAATCATACTGCAGGGTAAAGTTAAGTTTCCCACAGGTTTTGACATCTTCTTTTCTGTTGCCCTCGGAGTCAACTGACTTCTGTTTGTACAGCTCTGGTTTTATCCTCCCAATGCTGGTGGTGGTTTCTCCTCTTTGTAAAACAGGTTCAGTGCCCATACTGTAATCAACACTGGACACTTGCATTTGCCTTGGTAGGTGTCTCCTGAAGGAATTGTGGCTGTACACACACAAAACATATCATTTAGGCAGATCAAATTAATGACCATATTATAAAAAGGTACATAAACTCTCCTCACCAAGATATATTATATATATATATATATATAATGAATTTAATTAATGAATATTTAAATCATTGATTCATACATGCACATTGATTTCCTAAATAGGAATCAAATTCATATGATATATATATTTAATTAAATTCATATGATATATATATATATATTATATACACAATATGTGTATGTATATGAATATGTGTAAATAGACACACACACCAACACACACACACATGCATAAATACTTTTGAAAAGTTATATWTGCAATATTCAAGAAGAAGCCTCCTCAAGTTCTAGAAACACCTGAAACAGATATACATTTTATGAGGCTTTGAATTTGGTACTTTGAATAATAATAAGCGCATAAAGAAATGTGATTACCAACAAAATTCAATATTGCACAAAAATATGCTGTCAATCACCTGGGTGTATCTAGGTGTAAACTTCATACAGATAAAGTATTCATATGACTGTTTTATWTCCATGTGGATGTTTGGGTCTCATAAATTTCATGTTTTAGTTGTTACAGTATTAAATACATATAGATTCACATGTCCTCATATGTTATTTCTAATACATAAAATAAATAATTGTATATTTACTTTTACAAAGAATATAATGTTGTGACAGACAAAATTACTACATTTTCCTTTTTTCAACACAGATTGGCTTTAGAAGATCTAAGGAAACAATAAAAGTAGAACTCTAGAATTTGGGGTCAAAATAACAGTTTTAAAAATTCTAACTGAATTTCCTTAATCACTATTACTATTCTTCTTGTCAAAATTTCCAGACTATTTAATATGTAAGCTTACTAATGTCTTCTAAATGTGATCTGCCTTAAGACCTGCTTCTCTTAACACCATAACTTACAGAATAAGCTATACCAATCCATTTGTCTCCTCCAGACTTAGTCCAAGGTCTTTTTTCTTGTCTCTCCTTGGTCTGTCCATCAGACTAATCATGTGTTCTTAGACTATAATTGTTGTCTTGAATCTGATAGTTCCACAGATATTTCCTAGCTACAATAATTTTAAATCCTATATCTCTAAGTCTTCCAGTTTAGAAATCCAATGAATATTTCTAAACAGATGTATTAATTCTACCTAATCTCAAGCAAAACTCATCTATTTCTCCCTTTTGCTCTGAAACCAGTTTTCTCTTTTAAAATCACTAACAGCACTAACATTTTTATGAGTCACTCATACTTGGAAACATGCAATGTGCTTTGAATCACCTTCCTTTCATCCATGAGATTTATTCAGTTTTCTAAATCTGTTGAACTCATATATTTATCCATCCCATTCCCTTTCCATTTCTGCTCAGTCCAAATCCTCATCACCATATCCTTGCTTTCTCCAGTAGTCTTCAGCATACTCTCAGGTAACTCACTTCAAAATCCTCTGTTCACTTCTGTTGTCTATTGAGTCGAGTTCCACACCTTTATAACACTGATACTCAGGACATTGCTTAATGAATATTTAAATCATTGATTCATACATGCACATGGATTTCCTAAATAGGAATTAAAAACTTAGTGAACATCAAAAAACAAGATGTTGAACCTAAAAAGGAGAGGAAAAAATCAAGGGCTAAGGGCAAAGATAGAATTAATGCTAACTGTCTGCTAATGCCTGAAGAACTTTCATGACAATAGGGATTTATGGAAGCTGTAGATAGGCAAACTTCAGCTTCATAAAASGAAGCATTTTAAAATATCTAGAGCTATCCAACATGATGAAGTAATGAACTTCTCCACACTGGAATAATTAAAACGGAGATTAGATGATGAAGAAAAGGATTTTTGCCTCAAGTGAGGTGCTAAACTGTTAGAGGTTGTATAACCCTGAATGGTTGTGTGATTCTGTCATTCTTTGGTTCYTTGATAATTTTATAGGTTTAAATATCCATGGTATTACCAAAATGGGATTTGTTAAAATCAGAATTATAGTCTGAGGTGTTGCCAATTTCATTCTCTTATATTTTCTTATTATCTGTAACTGAACTGAAATGATGAAGTTATTGAAACAACTCCATAAAAAAAATTTTAGAGCTGTACTTCAACTTATTCAGCCTTTCTCTATAATTCCTCTTATACAGATAAAGATAAACCAAAAATAGTTGTGAGAGTATGAACAACTCTTTGTCTGTTATTTGTATTAGTCACAGATTTCTCAAAAAAATAAAGGAATTACAATTCAGTACATATACTGTAAATGGGGCTATATATTAAGACTGGTATAGTGGCAGAACAGTGCCAGAGGCAAACGTGAAAATATACTGTAGCATTTTCAAAAGATCTCCAACATCCTGCTTGGCTTTACCTGGAATAAGGGACTTGCAGAGTGCTGTTGCAATTATGAGGATGAAAAGACTTACAGAAAAAATGATATTACATCCAGCATCAGATCAGGTGCTGAAGAATACAAGAAACAGAATGAGAGAAAATAATATCCAGTGATAATTAGGGATAAAATCAAAGGAGAATAATAAAAGACAGGAAAAAATTAATAAGTAAACTATCAGATTTTTCACAGTTAAAAATTAAAATGCATCCTTGCTCTTTAGGTTTTTCTAGTAAAGACTAACAATGAGTACTTATGATTTGGCAGGTACAAGCTTAAATTCTTATCAACTCAATTGATCCTCCTGTAACCCTATGAAGTACATACTATAGTGTTCTCTAATTTACATGTGAGGACCCAGGGCACAGAGGCATAATTTATTCAAAGTAGCACAGCTAGGCTGGTGCTCAAATTAAAATCTGACTGAGGGAGCCTGGGCCTAGTGGCCATACCTGACCACCATGCTCTACTATAATATTCCTAGTTATGCTGCCTAATTACATTATTTCAGAAATTAGTCATTCTACTAAGTAATCACATGAGATATTGAAAAATTATTTACATATGCTTTTATATAACTTTTTCACTTAAACATTATTTATAACATACTTATATAATCCAATCAGATCCAAAGTTTATTTGGTTGAAATAGCTTGAGATGTATTTTTAGAGATGTTTTTCACTTCCTTGACTAGTTACCAAGAATTGAAAGGGAACAAAAATGTTCAATTTGTAAGTTAAATTATAATTAGACATTATGTAAAACATTCTTATAACGTTTACTGTTGTGGTACATCCTATAAAAAATTGACATATTTTGAAGTAGGGTCAAAGGAAAATGTGTTTACAATTTATACTGTATTATATGTTAAAAATGGTCAAGTTAAAATTTGACTAAACTAAAAAATTGTTTGTATACAGAGAGATACACTAGGACTACTTTACCTCAAATGAGAGAATTAGCTACTAATTCTATTAATTAAGATCATACTGAACTTAAAATTCAATATTTTAGTTTCTATAACCAAGTATATAAGCAAAGTTTTTTTTACCAACTTAAATTTTGAAGTGTTGTTTCCTTAGATCTATCCCATTTTCATTTACTAGGCATGCCATGAAATGTAATTTGACCTTGAAATCTGCACAGGTATATAGGATCAGTAGCCTACACTGGACTTAGGAAAGTGGTCAAAGAGAATACATGAAAATAATAATAACAATATATTGTGAGGTACTAAACTGATCTATTCTAATCTGGTTTGTACAATGTTCCTAAAATATTTGAGATATTTTATTGAGTAATGAAATATTTCTGTTAAAATCACTTTTACCCATGCAATGAGATTCTGATTCTTATTTCTTGTGGATTTATTCCTTAATTCACACTCATACTCTTCAATGTAATAAAACTTAAATCTTCTATCCTTCCCTCAAAGATCAGAAATGTCTTCTTTATGCYCTGAATATAATTTTTTCAGGCTGTAAATCCTCTTCTAAAAGAAATCAAAGCCTCTTCTAACAGGAGTCAAAAACATAGTAACATTTTTGTTCTTGTAAACCATTGTCCTAATTACAGGGTAAATAGTGTATATTCTAAGTCACAGTTTAGCTAGTCAGTTAAGAAAAGCTTTAATTATTACAATGTTAAACTATTGCCATGACAACACAGATCCTTTTTTCTTCTTCTTTTTTTTTTTTCTTTTTCTTTTTTAGAATGACAGTGATTAGTGGCTCACACAAATATCCAACTGGTGGAAGTGCAAGCCATTTGACTGTTACTAATCCCATTCTCATCCCTCAGATCTAGCAGAGTACCATCCAAACACTGGGGAAAGTGCTGAATTGGAATCTGACTGCAATGTAGCTTCAGCTGCCCTGTGCAGGGAGGGTCATTTCACTTGGCTTGAGCTTAATTTTCTTCTTCTGCAAAACAGTCCTTTCATAGTTGTTGTGAAAGTAAAATGAAGTTATAGAGAACTTTGAAAACTGTAATCCTTTGTATTGATATTAATTATTATCATTAAAATTCAGGACACAAGGAACTGAAATTCAAATGCCATAATGAACTCTCTAGTTATGACAAGCTCAAATTTCATCTTCCTATTTGGGGATGCAAGGATGGCACATACAAAGTTGTTCCTGTGTGAGCATGCCCTAGATTACTCCCCAACTCGTTTCTTAAAGTAAGTCTCTTTTCTTAAAGTGGGGAACTGACATCCTCTTGTTCTTATTTACAATGTCTTTATCATCTAGTAAGTTAACYTGATTTTTTTTTTGAGAAATCAAAGAGGAAAAGTAAAAATTTCTTTAGCAGCATTCTATTTGTTCTTAAATATGTTTAAAAGAGATTCTCGTCTCTGATTAACGGAATTAGCATTGGGAATTATAATATATTAAAAATTATAGCCCCATTTTATGGATAAGGAGGTTCAAATAGACTAAATCGAGTTTCTGATAAACAGAGTTTTCATCTTTTGTTTCTTTTTTCCTTCCATTTGATCTGAGACAAGGACAAGAGCAATTCCTTCATTACACAAATATCTGAGCTTTTATCATGTAAGGAACTGTGTATATCATGGCAGACTAAGTTA